GAGCGTGGCTGTGGTGTGAGGATGATGGGCTAGTGGGGTTCGCGAAGCGTGAACAATTTCCGAATGCGACGACGAGCCCAAGGCATAGCATGTGGGTAGGAGGAGGGCCCCAACACCTAAGAAACATACATGCAACCAACTGGTGGGATACAACTCCGGGGTAATACTAGTAATATTATTGTCTCTTTTCGGTTCGGGGTGGCTCTCCTCATCAGTTTGGGACCCCCTCCCCTCAGTCAGGGTGCTGGGTCGCCCATGGGCCACGGACCCCTTCCTGCAGTCCATCATGAGGGAGTTTGTGGAGAAGCCTAAAAGCATCACCAAAATCATCCAATACAGTCCTGCGGTCAAAGACATGTTTTGTGAGAACCGCAAGAAATGCAAGGAGGAAGTCGCCCTCTCGGCCAACATACGTGACTTCTGTTACGCAGCACATAGATATCACACGGAGGCTAAGGTTCTCATGAGATTAGTTCTTACATTCGATGCTAACCTGGAGACGGCGGCCCAAGTCATCCGCATGGCTCCGCCATTGCCGAGCCCCCATCATCCGCCAGGATCGGTCGGACGGCCCCTCCCCCCCCCCTCCCATCTTCCACTTCCTCCGCTGCCCCACCAGAGCAGGGGTTCCCCACTCCTCCTTTCTTTCCCCATTTCCCCACCTCTAGCCCCCCCTCCATGTCAATATTGCGCTGATCCCCTCGTCGTGGGCGGTGGAAACAGCAGCCCGAGAGGAAATCGCATCATAACATATTGACATCGTTATCCGCCTCCTCCTCCTCCTCCCCGCCAGTTTTGGCATTTGCTTCCCGCCGATGATGATGTCCCATTAATCGCGGCGGAGAGCTAAATTGTTGACGCTTCGCGTATCCCCACCAGCCCATCCAGAAACGACGCTCAGGGGAGTTGAGGTGATCAGGGAAGTCGGGGAGCATGCAGAATAACAAAGGGCGGGGGAAGCTGTCACAGACCCCGAGAGGGGAGGGATGCAAGAGGAATCGTCGTTGTCGTCGGAGGAGGAGGAAGAGGGGGAGGAGGAGGAGGAGGAGGAGGATAATGAGGAGGATAATGAGGAGGATGTGGAGTAGGGCGAGGACGAGGAGGACAAGAAGGATGAGAAGGAGCAGAGGGAAGAGAAGGAGGAGCAGGAGGAGAAGGAGGAGGAGGGTGAGGATGAGGAGGAGGGAGGAAAAGGAAGATGCGGCTGAGGAAGAGGAGGAAGAGGAAGAGGACGGCGAACCGAAGAGCCAGAAGCGTCTTGAATACCTTTTCGGAAATCCTCTTGAGGCTTCTTGGGGTCCTTTTGAGAGCCTCTTGAAGGGCTTTTTGGGCGCCTTGGGGCTTTTTGGGCGCCTCTTGGGACCCTCTTGATGCGCTCTAGTAGTAGGGGGGAGCCTTCGGGGCGTTCTTGGGGCCATCTTGGAGGGAGTCGATCAAACAAGAGGCGAGCTCCAATTAGCCCCCCCCCCCTCGGGAGCCCCATAAATCGCCTCCTGGACCCCTCTGGGGGGAGCGCTCTTGGAGGAGCGCTCTTGGGCGCTTTGGGGGCCGTCTTGGGGCTCTCTTGGGCCTCTCGTGGGGGCCCTTTTGGGCAATCCTGGAACCGCATTGAGGCCTCGGATGTCCATCGGAAGCGGACAGGCGAGAAAGCAAACCACCTTGTTTTTTTTTGTTCCTTAGGTTTGGGGACGTTTTTGGCTTCGTCGGGGCCTCCTTGGGGAGCTCTTTGGCCACTTGGAGCCGTCTTGGGATCGTCTCGGGGCTTCTCGTGGCATCTTGTGAGCCATCGTGAGCGGTCTTGCCCTATCTTGAGCCATCTTGGAGCTCATCTTGGGCTCTCTGAGGCGCTTTTGAAGCCATCTTTGGCCATCTTGGGCGCTCCAGCGCGCCGCGGCCCCCTTCCCCCCGTCCAGGCCCAGGGGGGGGGGGGTATGGGGGGGGGGTGAACCCGCCCCCACGGGGTAGAGGGAGGGGTGGAAGAGGATCTGCTCTAGTAGACCACCTGCGCCCAGAGGGCTGGTGGGATATAAAGAAACTCCAAGCGCAAACAAGGATTCCTCGACATTCGCCGTGGCTAGCGCCAGACCCCTGGCCCGAGGTATCGGATTGCGTGGAGCGACCAGCGAGGAGGGCGCGGCCTGCCGGGCATTGTTTGCTTTCTTGTCGGACGAGGTGCTCTTAACTTTGGGGATGATGGCCGACGCCATGTTCCACATGTCGCAGTTCGTGAAGGACTGCGACGAGAGCGCGCTCGACGAGGCCGAACTCCCCCAGATGGTGCAGAGCTTCCAGTCTGTGCTGAACAAGGACTCATTTATACGTTTGCTCTCTCGCGATTTGTTTGGCCCTCGAGGCATAGTCTGGTTTAGCTTCTCGGCCCCGCCCCCGCTGTCGCAACGTTGCTTGCGCTCTCGTCGTCGCAACGTTGCCCCCCTTCTCATCCTCTTCTTAGGCGGCCCGCCCCGCCCCGGTCGTCGCAACGCTGCGCCTCTCGCACTACTACTGCCCCTCGGCGTTCCCCCCCCCCCCCCCCCCCGCCCCCCCCCCCATCGTGGCCGCGCCGGGGCAGGGGGAGGGCGGCTCTTCTACCATGCGCTCCGAAACAAGATCCCCAGCTGTTCGTGGAGGGGATGTGCATGCACTGCCCGGGCATGACAAGCGTGATGATCAATGTCCTGAAGCGCCCCAGGAGTTATGTGATTCTAGGGTCCATGGTCCACTTAGGCAGTCATGCAGGTCCGTCCCCAGAGCTTGCGACGAAGTGTCTGAAACGAATGGCGCTCTTAACGATGTTGGCGAATAAAGTTATCGCGGCCGAGTTTCCAGATGTGGAGTTGCTGAACTCGTTCCAAGTGTTTTCATTGACCGATAACAAGCGCGCCCGGGACCTCACCCAGACTAAGGCGGTCAACGCGCTCTTGGGTAGGTTGGCACGGGCTCTCGCTCTCGACTTCAGTGAGCTGCTCGAGCAATATACCTTGGTGGAGCCATACGCCCGCAAGCTCCACGCCACGAAGGGTACCTCCAATTTCAGCGCTTGGAAAGAGGCGACGCTCTGGCACAGGAAGCGGAAGAGGGGCAATGAGTCTCGCCGGGCACTTAGCCGTCTAACCCAATTTGGATGTCGGCGCAGTCTAACCCGATTTGGTCGGCGCGTGTGGACCCCTTATTATTACGCGCCGACCAGAAGATCGGGTTAGACTCCAATCCCCCCGTTTTTATGCAGCTTCTTACTCGTAGGACCCCTATCCCCAGCAGCGTGCCACTTGAATTCACCAGCGTAGCTCATAAGACCTTTTCTGTTAAACTGGGGCGCGCCACTTAACTTCGCCAGCGTAGCTCGTAAGAGTTTTTTATGTTAAATTTGGGCGTGCCACTTGAATTATCCAGCGTAGCTCTTCAGGCCTTTCCTGTTGTTGAACTCGGGCGTGCCATTTGAATTCGCCAGCGGAGCTCGCAAGACCTTTTCTGTTAAACTCGGTCGTTGATTTCGCCCGGGTAGCCTGTAAGACTTGTTTTGTGAAACTCAGGGTGGCCAAGGCCGGGGGCAGAAGAAGTACGAGCGGCGCCGAAGTTCATATGGGCTTTTTTAGTCGGCGTATCACACACATGCACACATATGAATGTGTCTATGAATGTGTATATATATACATAGATACATATATACATATATACATATAAATTATTGACGCTTCGCGTGTCCCCACCAGCCCATCCAGAAGCGATCGCCAGGTGGGTCGGTTACTTTCGGGATATAATGTTGAGAGGTTATTGTACGACTCTCTGGGGCATATTGGGTTCATCTTTGGGCTCTCCTGGGGTGCCATTAGGGTCGTCTTGGTGCTCTCTTGGGGCTCTTTTGGGGGTGGGTCTGTGACCCTCGGGATATAATAATGTTGAGAGGTTATTTTAAGACCCTTTGGGGCATCTCCTCCTCGGGGTCATCTTTTCTTTCTCCTCGCGCTTTGAACGCGGGCCCCCCCGCGGCTGGAATCGCCGGCGTGCTTGCGAGCCAAACGCCCTGCGACATGCGCCAAACGCCCTGCGACATGCGAATGAAGACACTGCAGCTGGTAAAGCACTTGTTCTCCTAAGCAGCGGCGAAAACTATTCAGCGGGCGCTCCGCTGCGGGTAAAGCACTTGATCTCCTAGGCAGTGGCGGAAAGTAGGGGGCGCATCGGGGCCATCTTCTTGGGCCTCTCTCGGGGCTCTCTTGGCAAGAAGGCAAACACATTGATTTGCCTTTGGTGTTTCAATGGTTCTGGCCTCTTGGGGGGCCCTTCGAGGGCTCGGGGGGCACTCGAAACCGTTTTCTTGGGGCCGTCTTGAGGCCTCTTCTTTCTTGGTGGTGGGCGCGTGTCGGAGGCTACCTTGAGCCATATTGAGACATCTTGGGCCATCTGGGAGGCCATCTGGGGCTCCCTGAGGCCCTCTTGGACCCATCTTTCCTTGGCCAAACAGAACGCTCTAACTGCCCGCGGCCCGCCCCGCCCAGGCCCAGGGGGCGGGGGTAGGGGGAGGGGTGGGCCCCTCCCCGAGCGAGCAGGGGAAGAAAGAGGAGGTAATGGCAGAGAGGAGAAGACCACGTTCCCTATACCTACGCCCAGAGGGCTGGTGGTGGGATATAGCTTGTTGTTTGGATCAGCAATCGGGGCTCTTTCTTCGACGCGCGCAAGATGAGGCCCGGAGATGAAGGAGCTCGTGCTTTGCCTTGCCCGCTGGGGGGCCTTGGTGTCGAGCTCATCTGACGTCGAGCGCGGCTTTGCCAAGGCTCCGCCCCTCCTTCTTCTCGGCGGGGGGGGGGGCCATCATCCTCTTCTCCTGCGTTGCGAACCCCAAAAAACCAAAATCGTTTCGTTTGGGCGGCCCCCAGTCGCCATTGGATGGTGACTCGGTTGGAGAAGACGTTGGCCCCTGAACAGCGTCGGGGCACGCGGCCCGCCGCGGTCGTCGGATAATAGGGGGATGGGTCGTCGTCGGGGGGAGGGTGGTGACAGAGGGCTGCGCTCAGAAAACAGCGATCTCAGACTGTGCGGCTGAAGGGCGGGCAGTCGGAAGACGTGCACACTCACCGCGAGGAGGACATCTTGATTATTCGGTCGGAGAATCTTCGCGATCAGGCGTGGGTGGACATCCGGGCAGCCGCGGGCAAGCTGTGGATCGAGAACTATGGCAAGCCTCGCCATCACACCACGGCCAGGATGGATAAAGGGATTGCTGCGAAGGCCAAGCCAGACGACCGCCGCGGCGAGGCCCACTTCACCCGGGAGCTGTCGAAAATTCATCAATCCCTGAATGGCGAGGCTGGGCGTGTCCTGCCGAGCCGACACGATCTTCTCGACGTCGCCTCGCTCACGGACAAGCAGATCGCAGAGTTCAAGTTCAACGACCGCAAGGAGGCGACCGCTCAGGCCAAGGCTTTACTTGCTGGTTTCTTGGATGCTTCGGATGTGACCCCCGAGATGCAGGCCTTTGCGCTCGACTACGTGAGGAGAACCGCCAAGTCCCAACAGGCCCTGACTTCCAGCCTGCTCAACGTTGTGAAAAAAGTGCACAAGACCCCTCAGAGCATCGAGGACAAGTTGATTTTCTTCGACAGCGGCGTGCTGCCGATGTCCCCGGCGCAACTTGCACAACTGCACGCGAAGCAGGCGGCCCGCCCGCGTCGGTCCGAACCATTGTTTGCTATGCTTGCTCTTCTGCTCGAGCTTGCTTGGCCGCCGCTGTGGGGATGAGACTTAGTGGGTCGTGTTCGCTTGCCCCTACTACATCCCCGCGCCCCCTTCTTGCCCCCCCCCCCCTCCTGCCACCGCTCAACCCGAAGCAAGGCGGTCAAGCGGAGCGATGCCGACATTTTTGTGGTGCCCAACCTCGGTGAGATCCCGAATCGCACCCGCCTGATTGCTGGACTGGTTGGCGGCGTAGTCTCTACGATGGAGTTCGTGGCGAGTCGCGGCGCATCTGGCTCAACCGTTGCGTTTTCGGGCTCTGCATTCGTGCCGCGCAAGCTCTACATCTGCCCTGGGTTCATGGTGAAGTACCCTTGGATCTGTTCTGACATTTACGATGTGCTGAACCTGGTTACGGCCAAGTTGAAGCTGGCGAAGTCCGAGGCGGAGGTCGAGGGGATCCTCGCGAATGTCGCGACCCGCGCGCGGCGCCAGAGAGAGATCATCGTGCTGTGCAGCAAGGCGGAGAAGGCTTCGGAGGATCCCGCATTCTTCAGCGTTGTTGTTGGCTTTTCTTCACGTTTCGCGTATCCCCACCAGCCCATCATCCCGAAGCAACCGCCAGACGAGTTGCCTTGATGCGGGAAGCGTAGCAGCAAGCAGTCCAACAGTGATGAACCACATCCGTCTTGGAGGCCCCTCTGGCCGTCTTGGGCCATCCTGAGGCTATCTTGTTGGGCCATATTGGGTGCATCTTGCGCTGTCTTGGAGACATGTTGGGGCCATCTTGGGCTCTCTTTGGGCCGTCTTCTTGGCCGTCTTGGAGGCCGGCCATCTTGGGCGTCTAGGAGACCACTTGAGCAGCCTTTGGGCCCTCTCAGGGCCGTATTGGGGACCTCTGGGGCTGCTGTCTTGGGGCCATCTTTGGGCCTCTTGGGCGCTCTTGGGGGCCTTCTTCTTGCTTGGGGGCCGTGGATGGCCTCTTCTTCTTGGGGGGGGGAGGGCTTCTCGGTCAGACGACGGGGGGGGGCCACCGATCGCCCCCCCCCTCCTTGGGGGGCAACGGTGAGGGGTATCAAAAAATAGCTCCCGCAAGAAGCGGAAAAAGGACGCTCTACATACCCGCGGCCCTCCCCGCCCAGGTCCAGGGGAGGCGGTGGCGGGGGGGGGGAAGGGGCAAGCCCCTCCCCGAAAGGGAAGAAGAGGTTGTTGTTGGATGGAAGAGCGGCGAGGGACATCCGTATTATTAGACCACCTGTCGCCCAGAGGGCTGGTGGGATTTCAGCCGCGGCCGCGCGTCGTGGCCATCATCATTCCAGCTTATCCTCCTCCTTCCCCCCCCTCCCTTCCCCACCTGTCCTGCGCTCCCCGCCTGGCCCTCCTCTTCCTCCTTCTCCCCCTCCCCCCCCTCCTCCTCCTCCTCCTCCTTTTTTTCTTTCCCCCCCCCCGAAGAAATATCGGTGGTAGTAGAGGCTCCGCTGGGAGAACCTGGCTGGCCACATGTGCATCTTCGTTGTTGCAGATGTCTGCGATGGAAGCGCATGATGATGTGCATCACCATTCGCCGTCGTTGCTGTTGTTGATGTTGCTGTTTCTTCTTGGCGGCGGCCCGACATGTAGTAATGAAAACGTTGTTTGCTTGTCTGACCCCAGCTGCTCGCCGCGGTCAAGAACAGATTCAGCCTGTTCGACGCCCTCGAGCGCGAGTTCGTGTGCAAAGTCGACCCTTCCAGGTCGTCATCTGGAGTCACAAGTGGTTGATTACTACTATTTGGTGCTTGCTTGGTGGTGGTGGGGGTCCTCGCCGCGCCGCTGCCGCTGCAAGTGCTGGGCATGATGCCCGCCGAGCCGTTGTTGATGATGGGGCTCCTCGGCCGGCGAGCTTGATTGAACCTCGCATCGCCGTGATGTGGTGTTGGGAACAACATGTCAGTGGCTAGTGGTTGTCTAACGTTCCCTCTTCGGCCTCTGCCTTCCTCTTCTTCTTGTGACGCGCGTGCGGCGTCTTCACGCTATCATCTTGGTGGGGAATGCCTCCTCCTACCCATCTCCTCTCCACAATTATGCCTCCTGCCCGCCTTGTCCTCCTTCCCGCGGCCCTCGCCATCCACCATCCTGTCCCCCTCTTCTACCCCCCTCCTCTTTCCCTCCTCCTTCCTTCTCCCCATCCCCCATGCTATTTTTTCCCCTAGCCCAGGGGCCAGGGGAAGGGCGCCCCACCATGATGACTGCTAGTGTCTCGTCTAGCTGCTAAACGCGCCACCGCGAGCCAGGAGGGCATTCCGACGCTCTTGTCCTCTCCTCCGTGCTTTCTTTTTTCTCTCCACCCTCATCCTGCTGCTGCTTCTTGCTGCACTTCCCTCCTCCTCCTCCCCCCTCCCCCCCTTCTTCTGCTTCCCCTCCTCCCCCATCCTTTTCCCTTCTTCTCCTTCTCTCCTCCCCCTCCCCCCAATCATCTATCTCCTGTCGCATGGCTCTTCTCAGCAGAACTACTCGTGGAGCCCGCTGTGGCCTTCTTCTCTGCCCATGATAATTTCCCGCGGGCCCCCGTCGCTACTATTCATCACTATTGCTGCTACTTCTACGACGACTGGTGCTGCTGCTGTTAGAATTTTGCATATGCTGCTGCTACTCTCGCCATGCTGCTGCCTACTACTACCACCTCCCCCGCTGCGCCTTCGCTCTTCTTCCATTCTTCCGCCCATCCTGCTCCATCACCGCTCCCCCTCGCCAGCAGCCCACCAGCCGGGCGGGCCGAGGCGCGCGCTCGGTCGGGCTCGCTCGCAGAAGCGGTTGTCGTCGTCGTCGGGCGCGGCCTCCGGCCGGCGGCGGCGGGCGACGGCGGCGCCGCCGGCGGGGGGTCGAGGCCGGCGGCGGGGGAGGAGGAGAAGGAGAAGGAGGGGGGGGGAGGTTAAAGCCAAAGGGGTGCGTGGCAGAACAGAACATTGGTTGGGGGGATTTTCTTAATTATGCCGTTTGGGGTGGGTGGGGTGGGGGAGGAAGGCATTAGACGGCAAGTGGTAGGTGGGCTCCTGGGGCAATGCAAGCATTGTTTGATTGGGATTACCTCAAGGCGCGGTCGGCATGCAATGGTGCTGTCCAGTTTTTTTCCCAACCATCCTGTGGTGTTGGGTCCTCGTTTTGAAGAGATGGTGCGCCGCGTCTCCTCTCCCTCCTTCCTTCCTTTCTCCCTCTGCCCCCTCCCTCCTCCCACTATCGTCATCACCGCAGCACACCCCTCGCACGTTTCGTGGCCCCATAGGGAACTCCACCGAGGAGGGCCCCAGTGGCTGCGTTGGCATGGCGGCGCCGCACCCATTTCGGCACACCCCTCACACGTCGTTTCGTTGCCCCATAGGGAGCTCCACCGAGGGCCCCAGTGGCTGCGTTGGCATGGCGGCACCGCGCAGATTTCGGCACACCCCTCACACATTTTCGTGGCCCCATAATAATAGGGAGCTCCACCGAGGGCCCCAGTAGTGGCTGCGTTGGCATGGCGGCACCGCACCCATTATTTCCGCACACCCCTCACACGCTTCGTCGTGGCCCCATACAACATAGGGAGCTCCACCGAGTGCCCCAGTGGCTGCGTTGGCATCATGGCGGCACCGCACCCATTTCGGAGGCACACCCCTCACACGTTGTTTCGTGGCCCCATAGGGAGCTCCACCGAGGGCCCCAGTGGCCGCGTTGTTGGCGGCACCGCGCCCATTTCGGCACACCCCTCACACGCTTCGTGGCCCCATAGGGAGCTCCACCGAGGGCCCCAGTGGCTGCGCTGGCATGGCGGCACCGCAATGATTTCGGCACACCCCTCACACGTTTCGTGGCCCCATTATAATAGGGAGCTCCACCGAGGGCCCCAGTGGCTGCGTCGTTGGCATGGCGACACCGCGCCCATTTTTTCGGCACACCCCTCACACGCTTCGTGGCCCCATAGGGAGCTCCACCGAGGGCCCCAGTGGCCGCGTTGACATGGCGGCACCGCACCCATTTCTTCGGCACACCCCTCATCACACGCTTCGTGGCCCCATCATAGGGAGCTCCACCGAGGGCCCCAGTGGTGGCTGCGTTGGCATGTCGGCACCGCGCCCATTTGTTCGGGACACCCCTCACACGCTTCGTGGCCCCATAATAGGGAGCTCCACCGAGGGCCCCAGTGGTTGTTGCGTTGTTGTTGGCATCGTGGCGGCACCGCACCCATTTCGGCACACCCCTCACGCGACGTTTCGTGGCCCCATAGGGAGCTCCACCGAGCCCCAGTGGCTGCGTTGGCATGGTGGCACCGCACCCATTTCGGCACACCCCTCACACGACGTTTCGTGGCCCCATAGGGAGCTCCACCGAGCCCCAGTGGCTGCGTTGGCATGGTAGCACCGCACCCATTTCGGTACACCCCTCACACGTTTCGTGGCCCCGTAGTAGGAGGGAGCTCCACCGAGGGCCCCAGTGGCTGCGCTGGCATGATGTCGGCACCGCACCCATTTCGGCACACCCCTCACACGCTTCGTGGCCTCATCATGGGGAGCTCCACCGAGAGCCCCAGTAGTGGCTGCGTTCGCATGGCGGCACCGCGCCCATTTTTTCGGCACACCCCTCGCACGTTTCGTCGCCGAGGGCCCAGGACAACGTTTCGTGGCCCCATAGCAGCAGGGAGCTCCACCGAATGCCCCAATGCTACCACCGCCCGCGTGCGTTCCGTAGCACGCCCAGGACAGCGCTTCGCGGCTCCATAATAGGGAGCTCCAACAAAGGCACCAGTGCTACCGCCCGCATGCGTCCAGTGCGCCCAGGACAGCGTTTCGTGACACGCCTTTCGTGGCCCCATCTATCATCATAGGGGGGCCCGCCGAAAGCTGCACCCATAAAGCGTTATTCACAATTGCATATGGTTGGGTCTTTCGCCAGGATAATTGTTTTTTTATATAATAAGCCGCGCCACTGGACGACGCACGGCACTGGAACAACAACGGTCACACTAGAGGAAACGGCCACTCTGGCTCAACAAAGCGCACGGCACCCTCAACAACACGTCGCACTTGAGACGGCCATTCTGGTCATCATTCCGTAACCGCGAGGAAGGATGGAGGATGAAGGAGGAGAAGGGGGAGAAGGGATGAGAAGGAGGGGGCGGATGGGGTAGCCGAAAATGAGGGGGAGGGGGTGGTGATGATGTGATCGACGTTGGTGGACTACTGGGGGTCGACGATGGTGCATTATTAGGGGAGTCGGGGGTGATGGTTGATTGATGATGAGGGGGGGTGCTGATGATGAGGGCCGAGGATGGACGAGGGGTCGAATAAATATGGATCAGGGGATGATGGAGGAGGAGGAGGGCGAATGGCGATGATCGGAGGATGTGCGTAGGACAATGATGCGGAGGAGGAGAGAAGAGGCAACAACCAGGGAAGACGATGGACGATGATGGTAATAATAATGATGAGGATGTTGATGGATGCGGAGGGATGAGGATCGTGGATGATGATGCTCAAGGGGTCGAGACAAGCGCACTCTCGCCTAATGAGAAGAGG